GGTTTTATAACTGAATTATAGATTCATTATTAACCGCTAGATTATGGCCATATGAACTATATTGTGCAGTTGCTTTAACCGAACACCCCGTCGGTAAATACTACCATGACTTCCAACCGGATTAATTCAGTTATTCTCTCTAAACGTACTTGGTAAAAATACCAACTAAGATGGTTGGTTTCACTATTATATGTTTCCATATAACCATACAAAAATTATTTTTGCCATGTGGCCATTGACATTGGTAATATTCGTTTATAATCTTCGATCACTTTCATTGCCGTAAAATGAGTAGACTATCAATGTACCAATCGGTATACTATTAAATTGTACAGAGTACACTTTTGGGCAAACCAGTTTCCCACATTGAGTGGCCCATTGTACTCTCTGTGCATGTCATATCCAATGGTATATTCTCCCACCAATAACTCGGCGGGTAACATGAATGTCAATGTATTTGAAGCTACCACCGCCACAGTAACCAATAGGACACTGTCGTGCATAGTTCTGATATCGGTTTGTTTGTTTTTAAATAACTTGTTGTTGCTTTTTAATAAACGGCCTACGGGTCTCTACCCTCAAAATCCGCGTCGACTAAATTGCGACATAAGTCGTATTGAGCGGAAACTTAAAAAATAATAGCACTAACGGGCGCGACTTGTCAAAACAATTTTTTGGTATTAAATAGCAATAAACAGTTCGGCCGATAATTTTCTGATGAATAATAACAGTAACGTATCGTATGAGATAGCGCTTAGACAAACCATTTAACTTAATTATTTATTTACTATTTTAATGCAATCCACTTCATAATAATCATAATATTATTGCATTTATTATTAATCGAAATAAGTTTTATGAGATTTAATAGTTCATCCACAGCTTTAACAAGCACTATGTTTATCTATAAATTATAACTAAACCTCAAAAGTCACAGAAATNTCATCGAAAACGTTTATTTATTTACAACATAATTCTTTTACCAATATTATTGTATTGATTTAGGTTTGAGTCTCTCATTAAACCGTATTTTTCAAATGATAATTATATCGATTTGTACTTCGAGTATATTACTTCAATAAGAACGAAATTTTTTTATGTGTGTGATCAAGACAATAATAAAACATTAATTAATAAAGAAAAGTTAATTTTTTTTTATTTTTAAAAGAAACTAATATCCTATGTTGACAATATTATTTACCATAGGTCAAAAAATAATTTTAATAAATTATTAATTATAATAATGCATTTAAATTATATTTCGAGTACTGTATTTCAATATGAATAAAAAAATTTTTTATGTGTGTTGTTGCCCAATAATGAAACATGATTTTTCCTATTTATATTACTTTTTTATTTGAAAAAATAATAATTATGTGTGCAATATTTTTAAATACATTGAGACTTTATTATCTGATATTGTATCAGATTTTACAAATTTTATATGGCAATTATCGTACACGGTGACTCTTAGTCAATTATTATGCATTGAATTTCCGATTCATAATCGTTTTGTTCGAATGACAAACAATTCACTATTGTATTATTTTACAAGTTTAAATATTTATTTATTTAGAGAATACTTGGAATATTCGTTTTTGCCTACTCCATTAGATACATTCGACGTACTTTAATTTCGAATACTCTACTTTAATATGAAATATTAATCGGTTTTAGTGAGTATTCTACTTTTGTATATTTCCCTCCACGAACCCGATCGACGCGTCGGTCGTGCTACCGATTTCTCCTGTTATTNCTCCACGAACCCGATCGACGCATCGATCGTGCTACCGATTTCTCCTGTTATTGTTCAACGAAACGTATCCGGCGCAGCCGGATACCTCTTTCCATAATCTGTTACCTACTTGGTAACCGGCCTTTGCCGCCCCTTCTCTAGATCGCGTAGCAAACCCTTGGTTTCCGTAGCGAAACGTTTGGACTTCTTTTCCGAAATCATCTCCCGATCCAACTTCGCTTTTGCAGCGAACATCCCCTTTTAATTATTGAATTTTTTTAATAATAAGCGTTAGTGTTCTGAACAGACCTCAAGAACACGGAGAATACTCTTTGGGGCCCCGAGACTATTCACACCCAAAGAAAAACCTCAATCAAAATTGAAAGAGAAATTTTATCAAGGGTTTATGATAATGTTTTATTATTACGAACAAAATAACTATTCTTATAAATAATTATTGTTCAAGACAAGAAAAAAAAATATCATATTGATAAATATATCATTGATTCAATAGTAATGATATATTTATCAAATTGAACAATGAATTTATTATATAGATCGAGGTTTTTCTCTGGGTGTANATATAGATCGAGCTTTTTCTCTGGGTGCAAGAAGTCGACGACAGGGCCGGGCTTTTCATAGGAACCGCATGGTAGCCGACTATTGAGAGCCCACACGAAGGAAGCTCCTCCAACGCTCAATAGCTTGTGAATTAAGGAGTGTGGATATCAAAGAGGTTCTTACTATGACACTAATGTCCCTCCAAATTTTTATATTTTAAATATTTTTTCTTTTCCTACGTAGAATTATTTTGCCAAAGTTCTTTTGTTTTGTATTAAGGTCTAGGGTCAGACCTTAAGTGTAGGGGGAGCAGCGTTGTATTTGCATGTGCCCATATCTCTGTCTCCCATAACATCGTTGTACCGTTTAATAGACACATATATATATATATATATATAATTAACACAGTGACATACAGCAATACTAACAGGAGGGCGGACTGCACACATAAACATTTTTTGCAATTCACGGCCAATGTGCCATAATAAGATATCCCTATCGACAGTTGACATTTTACCATCTTCGCGATCACTACTTTTGCCTGATAATTAACTTAACTTCGCTACCCCATATATTATAGTGTGTGTGTATGTCGCCGTCAGCTCCCTGTTGGATTAATCATCTCTAGGTGTCCAGCAGGTTGTATTATCCATTTAATATTTCAATTGTTTAATAAATATTTATTTATATCGTTGTTAACCTAAAGTGTTATATATATATATTGTAGTGCGACCCTTGGTAGTTCCTCTAAGGGAATATAAATTAAATAGGAAACTTCAGTACCTAAGGTAGATATAGCCTAGCCAGCTATCCCCCGTTGGTCCCTTAGAATACTGTCGACGAGCATTTAGGCTAAACCCCTAAATAGCGACGTAACACCTTAAATATAAGATTAATAAAATTCATTGCAGAACCTTTAATATATGTGCTTATTTGTTATTTAATTGTCTATTCTCGTAATTTATGGGATCTGCGGTTAGCCGTCATCCTGACAGTTGACCCTTCTCTCGCTTTAAAAAATAGCGATTTCCAAAGGCTTAAAGAAAATCACAAGTAACACAAGTAACCGTCCTACGTTCTAGCTGCCTCGTGTGAAACAAAAAAAAGAGAAGCAAGTTAATTATCATCTTTTCATTTGAAAAACTAAAGTTGACACATTTATAAAATATTAGAGAAAAATATAAAAATACCAATGCTTGATGATAGATTAAAAAATACTTTTTAGTTTATCAAAAGAAGTGGGTTAGAATATTTTTTTAAGGCGATGATGTACTAAAAATTTATATTATACAATTGATTTTTTTTATAATATTTAAGCGAATTATTATTATAGTTTCTATTAAAACGAAGAATAGGGCCTACTTTTTATTTTAAAATAAAAAATCACACGATTTTTAGCAAAAATACAATTTATAATGACAAATATCGTCAATATACCTTACGAGTGTCATATGTATAAATTATTTCATATCTAAACGATTATTATTTTTGTCTTTTATTAATTTTAATATGGTTGAATAAATTATTGATTACAAGTGTGATTGAGAATTACTATAAATATTTTTGATAAATATCTACAATACTAAAAATGTACTGTCATACTCAAATCAAATTCTATTATGTGAATTCTTTTAAATTCTGCGTCAATTAACATAAAAATTTGCTGAAATTTTCTCTCTATTTCCTTCTCACATATCAGTTTAAATTTGTATGGCTCGATGTCTCTGTGAGGTTTCGAAAATTCTTTTAATATTTTATCTAATACATTTTGTGACAGAATGTGTTCGTCTTTAATATTATTCCATCTATAGTTATTTTTTATATAACATTTTTCAATTTCTCGGGGCGTTAAAAAAATATTTGCATACTCATTTACTAATCTTTGAAAAACAAGCATTATATAGCAATCCTTAATTTCTTCATTAATTTTATGTATTTGTTTATGTAATTTTTCGCCTCCATTCAACGTTAATAGTGCATCACTCAATTTATTTAAATAATTCATGACATCGTCCCAATATAATGTTTTACAATAATCAATTCTTAGTGCCTCATATGCATATACCATTAGTAAAATCGCATACTTAAAAATTCGATCGCCCATGATTTTTGTTGCTTTTTTAAGAGTGAATTCTATATCACTCCTGTACATTGTTGAATTAAGAATGAAATCGTAAATTGTTGTATTGGGTAGTGTAGGGAAGTACGATTGAACAAGTTCTTCTTCGACATATTTCCATAAAGACAAATTTTCGAGATTTCTTAGTTGTCTTATGCTTCTTTTATCATAGATCGTATCATTTATTAAATATGTATTATTATCCAGCATACTGGTCTGTTAAAAATAAATAAATTTTTTTTATTAAATCGCAATTAATTATCTTCCTAATTAATAACATATTTTATAGGGTATATCTTAAAACATTTAAGGGAGCAAACTTTAAGTATATGATAAAAACTAAAATATATTTGTTTACGAGTTTTTACACAAGGAACAATATCATAGATTCTGTTCACACCGTACCCGCCTACTGCTAGTGAGATCAAAGAACATTAGTACTTAATAAATAACTAATAGTCTAGACCTATACAGCAGTAGAATTATTATAAATAAAAATCAAATTATAATTTCTATCAATTATGACTTTAATTCACTTGTAAATTAAATAATAACGCACAGTACTGTCGGGACACCACATAGTGAACTTAAATATAGATTAAAATCTTATAGAAATATTTACCACTATCATTGCTCGTGTGAAATTGCACAAAAAGAAAATTCTTAGGGAGGTTTTTATTTTAAAGCATATTGTTAAAATTTAACAAAATTTTTATATAATGACAATACAGGAAAATGATTAATTGATTTTAATCATTAATACAAAATAAATGAAGGAATAGAGAAATAAAAATTTGAATTACACAAATAATAATTTTTATTGAGTCAAGTTAACAGTCGGCATTTTTATTTTTATAATGTTATTAAAATGATTTCACAACATTACTTTTTTAAATTTCTGCCTGGGCCGTAATGAGTCCTGTATTTACTTTAAATTAAATTTTAATTTGGAAATATTGAAAATATAAATTTAGTACACACAAAGACATATTTATAAACTCACTTGAATTTTAATTATTTTGATTTGAAGTAGTTTGTTCACTTTCTTAATGAATGACTCTAGTTTTAGATTCATTTTCTCTACTATAAATAAAAATAATTGTTAGTTTTGTTATATATATTACGTAGAATTTCTGTTTTGTCATGAAGAGACATTAATTTGTTTCAGCGGGTGATATAAGGATTTATTAACATGACATATACATACCATTGTATTCGAAATAGTTATCTTTTCCTTTGTAATTTAAAATAACGTTGTCTTTTTCGAAAGTCTTCAAAATACAAATAACAATAATTATAAAAATTTAAAAATAATTTATATTTTCTGAATGTTAATTAGCATAATCGAATATTTTTTCTTAAAATGAAGATGAAAATAAAAGAAAACAAATACTTTCATGTATACAAAGAATTACCGACCGTATTTCAAAAATCACAAATAAATTCAAAATAAGAACCCTTTTCAAATTGAACAAAGTTTTGGGATAAATACTCTGAAACCAGAAAGTCAATCTATCAGAAATGCAAAGACCCGCAGTTTATGAAATTCTGTATGAATATGGTAAGTCATTCATTGGACAAAAAAATACGAAAAAGACGTAGATTACCAAAGGACAGAAAAATCCGCGGTAGCTGAACACGCCAAAAATAGTGGACACGAAATCCAATTTGACCAAGTCAGAATATTGAACTAAGAAGCTCATTTTGGCAAACGGATGTACAAAGAAGCAATTTAAATAAAGAAATGTCCAGAAAATTACAACAGAGAAGATAAATGAACTATTAGCAAGACTTGATTTCCTAACATATACCAACATCAATTAATTATGGTCTCATGTTATACTACTTAAGGAAAAGTGGGCAAGTTGATACTTTTAAGCTTTTATTAAATCTATTAAAAAAAAATTCACCATAAGAATTTAAAATTAGGGAAGAAATATTTCTTGATATATTTAAATGAATTGGTAATAATCTAATTAATTAATTTTAATCATATTTAAAATTTTAATTAGTTAGAAAGAATGATCAAATTGGACATATTGCCCAATACTTGGGGCAAGGTAAGTTTTTTAAGCTAATATACATAAGCGTAATTAAAGTTATGCTTATATAATGTATTATGTGTGTAATCCCTATTTAAAAGGAGTCACCCCTTAAAAATTTTGGAAGAATTATACAATTTTTTAATTGTTTTACGGAGTAATAAAACAAAAAAAATATTTAGAATGAAAAATTTCCAGCAGGGATCTTAAATCTTCGAATTATAATTTTCCTTCAAATAAAAATGGCAGCCGCCCAAATGTTCTTGAATAATTAATAGATTTAGTTCTAAGATTTAATTATAAGGAAATAATTTAGATTTAATAAAATAATAATTATTATTGAGCCTTAATTTTATAACGGCTTTATAAATTTCCTGATTACTAAAAAAACTACATTTTTATTTTTGATATCAATTTTAAGCTTCGATATAAATATAAATTATATTACTGCAATAACATATTAACTACACAAAATTTATAGTCAATGAGATTCCAAACCTAGTATATATAAAAATTTTAATTATAAAATAAATACTTTCTACAGCACTTTATTTTATCATTCACCATTTCGATAAATAAAGTTAATGATTATTTAATAAAATTATGTTCTTGAATATTGAAATTTTATAAAAAAAAGTAACATACGATTTTAATATGTATTGTTTTTTTTTTGTATATATTCCTAACAATCATGGCATGCTAAAAAAAATATGAAAATATCAATAATTACTTTACTAAAAATAAATACAAAAATTTTAATGTATTTTATTTATATTTATTATTATATAAATCTGTGATTTTAAAAATTTCTTGTTGAAAGTTAATAAATAAGAAATATTAACTTCCTCTCCCATCTCAATCAAAATGTACCAGTAAATGTTAAGTTTTTCATAAGTGGGCTGATTTCTCTTATTGAGCACACTTATGATTTAAGATATTTATGATTTAAGATACTTACATAATTCACATATAGTTCTACAAAAATCTGATTATTATTTTCTAAATCCTGGAAATAAAATCCAAAATTACATTTATTCAGTTTGGTAATAATCAGAAATTTAATTTCTTGAATGTTAAAGCGTGATTTGGGACCGTACCACGCGGAAATTTAAAATAAATAGCAATGACGGGCGTAGCCTGTCAAAATATTTTTAGCTTCGTTGCGAAGCTAAGAAGCTACTAATCTTACTATGTTGTGATTATTTATTATTTATTTAATTTATTTTGTAGCTGTGTACTACTTGTTTTCAACTGTCACTGGAGCAATTATTCTCAATGTTAAAAGTTAACAAATTCTATACAGAGTGATTTTTTTATCATAACCCACTCAATTACTTGCAGAATAACAATAATTTAAACATTTTTTTTTTCATTATATTTAGTTACACATTATTCTTGTATTTTTAACTATGTAATACTTTTTAAGTTCATCCCTTATGCCTTGTAAGGGGGTCAACTTTGTTTTTTTAAATGGTAACACAAATTTTTAATTTAATAAAATGTTTGAGTTTTTAATTTAATAGTAAATGGCATTTGAATTTTTAATATAACTTAATTCGTTTATTAGATATAATCATTTAAAGTTTCAAATTTTTGAATTAATATACAGGTATAATACACAAGGGATTACAAATACAGGTAGCTAATTGGTTTTTTATAACATCGATATTAGCAGGTACACAGCATTGTTATTATCAATTGTAGTAAGGCACATTGTTATGAGTTTATAAATACACTAACTGACAATACAGAAAGTATATCTATTGATAATAATAATTGATAATAAACAATCCGTGACTGAGACAGCAATGTCATAAAAATCCAATTAGCTACCTGTATTTACAATCCCATGTGTATTATACATGTATATTAACTCAAAATTTTGAAACTTTAAATGTTTATATCTAATAAGCTAATAAAGTTATATTAAAAATTCAAATGCCATTTACTATTAAATTAAAAACTCAAACATTTTATTAAATTAAAAATATGTGTTACCATTTAAAAAAACAAAGTTGACCCCCCTCCAAGGCATAAGGGATGAACTTAAAAAGTATTACATAGTTAAAAATACAAGAATAATATAAAAAATAATATAAAAGAATAAGTTTTGTAAAACATTATACAAGAATAATTAGATTTATATACTGTAATTGGCTGACTTATAACTCAGAATATAGTTTATTAAATTTTCAGTGAATTTTCGCATTTTTATAGATATTAGAATAAATATAATATTAAAAAAACGAAAATTAATAAAAAACAAATATTAAAAAAATTTTCACATCATCTATGGCAATAATATATAAATTATATTATTTTATTTATGTATGACGTGAGTTATAAATTGAAAATTCCTTTTACATTTTTTAGTTTAAAAGAGTAACTAATTGAATGAATTTCAATGTTACACAATAAATAAATTTTAACATTCTTATGTGTAAATCTAAATTTTTATAATATGCCTTTTAGATATTATTTTGTAATATTTATATCATTATTGTTTCTTAGCATCAATTCCAAGCTTAGACGATATCAATTTTAGTATAAAGATTATTTCTGTGACGGTCTACTTAGCTCAGTTGGTAATGTGTCGTACCTCAGAACTTAGGTATTGGGGTTCGATTCCGTTGGGCTGTGCTATATAGTTTCTCCTGTCATCTTCTGCACAAGAAATATATTTTAGAGGGGACGATAAACATAATTAACAATATATAAAATGTAAACTTTATTTATTTTTATTCTTTTATTGATTTTCTAAATCACCATATACTAATATTTCAAAAATTATAAAACAAAACTGGTTGTCGATAAGTTAACATTTTATTTAAACCAATCTATATTTATTAGTAAAAGAATAAAATAGGTTTCCATTTAACTATCAAAAGTCATCCGTAAAATCTATTAAATTTTCGTATCAATGCGCTCAAACTAAATTATCTTTAACAAGCTGAACATATACGATAAAAATAATGTTATAAAATAGAAAAACCATTAATGAAAAGCATTTTCAACGCAATATAATGATTTTAGAGTTTGTATTAACGCAAACAAATGATTTATTGAAATCAAAATACACAACATCTGATATTTTTATTATTAGTTCAAAAATAAAATTTATTTAATATATTTAATATATCAATTTAATTTTTTTTTTTTATAGATTTTTTTTATAGAAACGTGGCATAGTTGGATCAAGTATAATGATATCTGACAGTGATTAAAATCACTATCAAAAATAAACGCTTCGATGCAAATCTTTAGATAGTGTTTAATTTTAAAAAAATTGGTGTTTTATTCCAAAAGCTACTTGATCTGCTGGTTCCTTATTAATATCTCGATTAAGATAAAGTATGTCGAATGAAAAAGGGTTTATTAAAAAATATTATTTCTCATAAAAAAATTGTGTGGATCCATAAACTTTTCAATAAGTTATAGCATTATAAAGTTAAATATAATATAAATAATAAAATCGAGAATTTTCACACGAAAATAGCATTCGGTAGCCATTTTCGCCGTGAAGACAAGTCCAGAGGTCAAATTTTTTTTTTTCAAATTAAAGTATATTACATTAGCTTTAATTTAAGATATATATAAAAGTGTCAGACCTTCCGGAACATTTTCAAAAGTTAAGTTGAAAAAGTTAATTTTTTGTGAAAAAGTTGTCATTTTAAATCCCCCCCTGTGGGCAGATTAAGTGTCAGATTTACAAAAAAAATATACCAAATGATAAGTAAAGACATCAAGCATCTATATAAAAAAGAATTATATTGATATGTTTATTTTTGAAAAAGTTAGATCATTATTAAGTTAAAAATATTTAAAAAAATTATTTTACAAAAATCGTATTTTTTTATTAAATTTGATGTCAACTTTCACCACGAAGGCAAGTCCAGAGGTCAAATTTTTTTTTTTTAAATTAAAGTATATTACATAAACTTCAATTTAAGATATATATATAAAAGTGTCAGACCTTCCGGAACACTTTCAAAAGTTAAGTTGAAAAAGTTCTACTTTTTATATGTATTTTTTATATTTGAAGCCCCCCCATATATAGGGAAATAGTCCGATGTAAAAAAAAAGTATATCCAATGAAAGGTATATATAAATACTACTTCTCATGAAAAAATTGTATTGATCCATACATTTTTTAAAAAGTTATAGCACTTTAAAGTAAAAAATGTAAATTATAAAATCGAAAATTTTCACACAAAAATAGCATTCGGTAGCCGTTTTCACCATGAAGACAAGTCCAGAGGTCAAATTTTTTTTTTTCAAATTAAAGTATATTACATTAGCTTTAATTTAAGATATATATAAAAGTGTCAGACCTTCCGGAACATTTTCAAAAGTTAAGTTGAAAAAGTTAATTTTTTGTGAAAAAGTTGTCTTTTTAAATCCCCCCCTGTGGGCAGATAAAGGGTCAAATTTACAAAAAAAATATATCAAATGATAGGTAAAGACATCAAGCATCTATAAAAATAAATAATAATATTCATATTTTCATTTTTGAAAAAGTTATGACAGTTTTTAGTAAAAAAAATTGAAAAAATTTCGAAAATTAGCGATTTTTAAATTTGTAATNATAATAATATTCATATATTAATTTTTGAAAAAGTTATGACAGTTTTTAGTAAAAAAAATTGAAAAAATTTCGAAAATTAGCGATTTTTAAATTTGTAATTTTTTTGGAGGTTTCCCCCATTTAC